TGTTGACCATGCGCCTGCGTGTCAGGGAGTTGGCATGTGTGTGAGAGAGAGAGAAATTGTGTGCGTGTGCGTGTGTGTGCGCGTGTGTGCGTGCGTGTGTGCGTGTGAGGTGCGTGTGTGTGTGTGTGTGTGTGTGTGTGTGTGTGTGTGTGTGTGTGTGTGTGTGTGTGTGTGTGTGTGTGTGTGTGTGTGTGTGTGTGTGTGTGTGTGCACGCTCAATCATGCACCTGCAGGGTCGGCGCCCAGAACGGCCGCAGTCTCTGCAAGTCCAGCTTTCCTCTGATAGCGTCTCTGACCAGCATGTGCGGTGGATGCCGATGTTGGGCGCAGCGGCAAACGAGTCATTGAGCAGGCACAGCTCGTCCACGTTGCGGCGAATATGGACGTCGGGGTCGATCCACACGATCCGCTGCGCCGCGCCTCCAGGCAATGCCAGGAGGTTGAGCTTGTCGAGGACGCGTGATCTGGACCAGCGTCCGAGGGAGAGCGGGTGGCCAGGTCGGAGGATGCGTGACATGCGGTACTGGTATGGAAAGCGAGACCACGTCACGATACCGTCCACACCCTCGGACAAAGGTAGCGCCTGGCGCGCTGCGGAAACGTCATCCTCCAGCACGGCCACCACAAACGGCCAGCGTGACCCAAATTGTCGCAACTGCCGCGCCAGGCACCTTGATGCATTGAGGTCGTGTCCAGATCCGCCCGTCATGAACATGCAATGGGACTGCAGCACGGCTCCGCTTCCGTTCGTGGGAATTAGCTGCGGCGGCCTCCAAAGGGGCGCTGGAAGCCGGCTCGGCATGCCAATCTCAATGCAGTCAACAGTGGCCGCTAACTCGCAAACAACAAGAGCTCGTCGCCGAAAAAAGAATTATTTTCTCCGACACTGGGCACGGGACTCACTGGTAAGGCCCAGTGTCGTGCGAAAAAAGAATTTTACAACCGTGTCGTGCGAAAAAAGAACCACGCGCGAGCACTGGCACTACTACACCGTGCGAAAAAGAATCTCCCAACGCAACTCTCTAGCCCGTAACCCGATGCCAATCATCCGGCCCGCTGGGTGCGCTTCCGCTTAGCTCCCCGGGCCCCGGCCCTGGTTGTGCGGTTGAAACTCCACGAAAGTGCTCCAAGAGTTAAGTACCCCTTGCGTTGCGTGTTTTCTTTATTTCTACCTGGTGGTGTAGGTGTTTGCGCTAATATCTTCACGCGGGTTGATGAAGTGTCGCGCGATGCGCTGCGAGCGCCCGCAGGGGAGGTGGCCGCAGGGGCGCCCGTCGCACAAATGGGGGAGGACTCGAAGACCGTCGAGGACTCACATCGCGGCTGCTCTCGTCGCCAGCGCGAAGCGCCCGCGCCGCCCGTGCCGCCTCGGCGAGATTCACGTACGGGTGCGCCGCGTGCTTCCCGGGCAGAGCCCATCCGTGCTTCTGAAGCACGCGCACAATCTCTTCCAGCCGCTCCTCGGCCGCGTTGTGCTGGCTCGCGCGCACCTCGGCCTCCTGCCCTGCAGCTTCCGGCGGCGCGGGGTCGAGCTGCGCCCTCGCCGTCTGCAGCATCTCCAGTGCAGTAGCCACCCACTCCTGCACTGCCGCCTCCTGGCCCTCTCGCTCGAGCGCAGCGTGAGACCGCAAGAGGCGCAACCGTTCAGACGCAGCGTGGCCAAGCAAGCTCCACAGGGCGAGGAGCGCGGTTTGCACGCGTGGAGATGCGAGGAGGGGCGCCTGGCACAGCTTGGCTGCCGGGGCTGCCGGGGCGCTGCTTGGAAGCGCCAAGGTCCGAGAGGGAAGCTCCTCGTCTTCTGAGAACCTCGCCGCCGCGCGGACCATGGCGGCCCGCTCCGGCGACTCTGACCGCCTTTCCCGCGAGGGGGTGCGCAAGGCGCTTCGGACACGGACAGGTGGCGCAAGGTGGACCTCGGGGAGAATAGGAGCCGAGGCGCTGCCCGCCGCCGCCGTAGTGGACATGGGCGTTTGACCCTCGGCTTGCAGCCTGCTGCTGAGGTGGGGGGTCGTCTCGTCCTCGTTGCCGGCGCTAGGTAGACGCTCGGGGCCTAGCTGCGGGATCGCCGCCCGTGGAGTAGCCTCTCTTGTAGTGGGCAGATAGGTTCTTCTCTCCTGCCCTGCGCCGCTCAGGTCGCAGCTCGCCTCGCCTCCTCGCTCCTCGCCGAGGATGGCTCCCACGTGGCTCTCGAGCGCCGGTTGCGGCACCGCCGACCACGGAGTGGTCTGTCTGGAGGAGGCTGCTGACGGCGGTGGAGCAAGTGGCGGAGGAGTGGGGGGCGGCGGCGGCGGCGAAAGCAGGGGCGGCGGCGGCGCAAGAGGCATCGACGCTCGGACGCCAGCGAGGTAGTCGTCGAGGGTTGTGGGGCGAGCTGGGCGCACCCCCATGGTGCGGCTCACCCCCTCCTCGCCAACACACTGCACGGGCCTCCAACCGTGCAGCCTTCTGCGTGGGCTGCGGCCGGTGGCGGCGCCGATACCGCCGATCGCCAGCCTGTCGTCCGTCCAGAGAGGGAGTGGAGGTGCAGCTGGGGTTGTCGACGGTGCGCAAGTCTCGACAGGATGCGACGGAGGGAACGGTAGAGGCGTGCTCGGCAGAGGCGCAGAGCTCGGACGCGCAGCGTGGCATTGCCCAGCAGCCGACGGGGACTCGCCGGCTGCGCGCAGCGCTGCGGCGCGCTTGCGCGCCACCCTCCCTCGGTAGACTGCCCCCACTCGGGTCGCAGCTGCCCCCACGTGGACCGCCTCTGCGCCCGGCGCGTCCGCCTCTGGCTCTGCGTGCGCCTCGGCGACACTCGGCGGTCCACGCGACGCGCGCCGCCGAGCGGCTTCTGCGCGCGCCGTCCGCCCTCGCGCCCGCGCCTCGAGCTTGGTTGCCGCCCAGATCTCCAAATCGCTGGGAGCGGCGGCCGCCTCCGCCTCCTCCGCCTGGCCCTCGGGCTCTGCCTCTGCATCCTCCTCGACCGAGGTGGCCTGCGGTGGTGCTGCAGGAGGCGGCTCGCCACAGATCCAGTCGGCCACCGCCATGCCTGCGAGCTGGTCTGGTGTAGCCTGCGCCGGCGCGAGCACGTCTTCACTCGGCGCCGGCGGCGACGGCAGCGGCGGCGCGCTGACCCGCGCCAGTGCGCACAGCTTGAGGAGGTCGTCGAGCACGTCCTGCAGGTGCGCGGCGTGGACAAAGTCGGGGATCTCGAGGTCGGGCAGCCGGGTCGAGACGGGCATGAACGGAAAGCGCGGCGGGGTCAGCCCGCTCGTGACGGGGGCCCACACTGACGGGAGCGACTGGAGCTCCAGAACCTCTGGCGGTGGCATCCGGACGCGAGGAAAGCTGCGCAGCTCGATCACCGGCGCAAAGTCCGCCCTCTCCGCTTCCGCCCTGCGCTTCTCCGCTGCCGCCGCGGCTGCCGCGGCGGCGGCCTCTCGCTCCGCCGCCGCCTTCTCCGCTGCGAGCAGACTCGCTCTCGCCTCCGCCTCTGCCCTCACTGCGTCCTCAATCTCTCGCCGCGCCGCGGCGAGCTCCTCGCTCCTCCGTGTTGCCCTTCTCTCCGCCGCCTCTGCCTCGGCCCTCACGAGGTCGGGAGTCTCTGCGGTCGGCAGACTACCCTCGGCGAGGCAGCGGTACAGTGGGTCATCCCCCTCTCTGCGCCCGGCGTGGACTCCCCACGAGGCCCTGAGGAGGCCCCACGGTCTGCGCCGCGGAGAGGCTATCGCGCTGGCGCTGCCGTCAAGCGCGAGGCCGTCGAGCAGCATCGCGAGGCGCGCTGGCTGCCCGTGATGCGGCGTTCGGCCCGCCGCGTCCGCCGCATCCCTCCTCTGCCGCCTCGCTGCGGCCTCCTCCCCGCCCTCCTCCCGCTCGGCTCGCCGTAGCTCCCGCTCTGCCGCCTCTACGAGCGCAACGTGGGGAGCACCGTCCAGCTCACCCCATCGCTCGGGCTGGCCCGTGATCTTTGCGGCCTGGGTGACGACCGCCGACAGCCGCACCTTGCGCTCGCTGCGCGGCGTCAGCTCCCGCTGCAGCATTGCGTGCCAGCCATTGTCGTCGTCGAGGTCTGGCAGCCGCACGCGAGGTCGCGGCGTTGAAGTGCTCGCCGCATCCATGGTCGGTCCGGCCCCCGCGTCGCACGCAGCCGTCGCGACCTCGGATGGCCTGACGCACCCGTGAAGGGCATCGTTTCGGCCCCGAACGTTACGCCCGATCATCATCACGACACGCTCGACTTTATTTATAAATAGTGCAAGTTTATTTTTCGCTTCGCAGGGCGTTGTTCTCCAGTCAGGGTCAAAGGGTAGAGCTTGCGCGCCATTTCTTTGCTCCCGCTGGCAACAGCCACCCACGAGAGCCACCAACCACGGCCGGCGGCGCCGATCTGCTCTTCTTGCCGGTCTGAAAGGAGCAGGTTGGGGCAAGAGAGAGATTTTAGCTATTTGTTGTTGGGCGGGGCTGTAATGTCGATTCGTGACAGTTGTACTAACCTCTAACGGACAACGCCAACAACATACCTACAACGGACAACGCGAGGAGAGAGATTTTTGGCGCAATACAAGCAAATTGTCGTGTTGTCAAACGATTGAGATTTGTTGTCGTACTCTCTCTCTCTCTCTCTCTCTCTCTCTCTCTCTTGTTGTCTTGTCTAAAGAAAGAAAGAAAACAGACAAATCCAGACGAGGGATGGGGGAGGTTGTCTTGTCAACGCGGTGCGTGAGCAAAAATTCTTTTACCCGAGTTAGTGCTGTCGTGAGGGAGCGCGGCCGCGACAGAAGAAGAAGAGACAAGGGAAAGAACGACGAGAAGGGGGCGACCGCGAGGTGGCATGAAGGTCGCAGCGAGAATCTGCGAGAGACTGCGAAGAGAGATAGGAAGAGGCGGACGCCCAAGGGTGGGCGACGGCTAGCGCATCACACCCCTCTCCTTAAAATCCCTGTGTGGTGGCGGCGTGCCGTCCATCCCATCCCTCCCTTGGGCGGCGTTTCTTTCTTTCTTTTAGAGAGAGACACACGAGCATGACGGCCTTGCTCCTCACCGCCGCGTGGTATGCCGCCCTGCTCGTTGCGCCGCGCGTCAGCACGGCGGTGGACGCGCTCTACCCGCCGGCGGCGTATAATGACCGCCGCGTGCTCGCCCGCGATGCGGCGCTCGCGCTCAGTGGACTGAGCACGGCGGAGGGCATCCCGCTCGCCGGCGACACGATGGTCTACGGCGAGTTCGACCTAAACTTCTTTGCCCAGCTCCTCGCACTGGCCGACCCGCAGCGCGGCGACACGCTCCTCGACGTCGGCTCCGGCGTCGGTCGGCTCGTCCTCGCCGCCGCGCTCCTTCACGCGGACACGCTGCGCAACTGCCACGGCGTCGAGATCTCGCCGCCACTGCACGACGCGGCGATCGCCGCCCGCGTAGCACTCGACAGCCTGAGCCCGTCTCCGCCGGTCGCACCGGTCGAGTTCACTTGCGGCTCCGTGCTCGACGGAGCGGGGCTCGAGGCGGTGGAGGCGGCGGACGTCTTGTTTAGCTACGCCGTCACATGGGCTTCGGGCGAGACGCACAGCCGGCTCGTGCGGGCGCTAGCCGAGCGGCTTCCCGACGGCGCGCGCGTCATCTCGATCGACCTCGCACTGGACGCGCAGGCGGCGGGGGCGGCGGAGTCGGGCGCTCGCTTCGAGCTGCTGCACCAGCTTACTGGCCCAAACGAGGAGACAGGCGGCGAGGCGACCGGGCTGGTCTACAGGCTGGTAAGAGATCGGAGACGGGGCAAGGGCGGCGGAACCGCAAGCGGGGGAAGACCGTGACCGTGTGATGGGGCTTTGTAAACCCGGTTAGAGAGCCGTCGGGGGGCGGGGGCGGGCCAGCTCCTCACACGATTTGGGCGCGGTCACATCGACTTGCAAATGACACGCTCACACGTTCACGCCTTTTTAGCGAGGTCTCCGGGCGCGGTTGCGACCACCCGTACTCCTTGCGGGTCAGAGTAATGCTAATGGAAATCTCTTACGCAAGAACGCACAGGAGATCGTTGGGGTGTAAGAGATAGTAGATTAAGACTGGAGATCCTAACGGATCTCTCACACGGACACGCCCAAGTCTCGCCAGTAGATCCCTCCTGTCCGGTTCCCCATTTAAGACTAAAGATCGAAGATTGAGATTGTGGATTGCAGATCGCTGAGCAGCAACACGGGCCAAAATGTTGGAGATAGGAGATGGAGAATGCAGATTGTAGATCCTAGCGCCCAGCCATCCGCCCCAGATGTGAGATCGAAGATTGAAAATGGAGGTCGTAGATTGCTGCCGGCGGCGACAGTGGCCAAGTAGAAGATTGGAGGTTGGAGATGAGAGGTGGTCAGTGTGAATGAATCCATAGCGCATCTCCTTGAAGGTTTGAGCCCCCCTCCTCCCCCAGGCCCCCGAATCGAGATTGGAGATTGGAGATGGAGATCGGAGATCTGACTGAATCCGGCCTAAGATGACGACGTTGGAGATTGGAGATTGTATGAAGATGGAGATCGGAGATCTGACTGGATCCCCGGCCTAAGATGACGACGCTGTGGATTGGAGAGTATTGGAGGTGGGGAGGTCGGAGCTCCCCCAAACCCTAGTGGTGTGTGATAGATGTTTTTTTAAAAGGGTTGCTGTGGTCTGTGCGCGGACGGCCCGGGGCGCGGGGCCGGGGGGAGCCTGCGGCGCCATTTTAATCTGCGCTCCTCTTTATGGCCTGCGGCGCCTGGCTTGAGCTTGGAAGGGTAAACGAGTCCGCCAGGGCGGTCTGCAAACGGAGCGCGCTGCGCGCGCGGTCTACGGCGAACGTCTTTGCCGAGTTGGCAGCGTGTGAATCACGATACCGCCCCCACAGTTCGGGCTCCGGCTCAGGTCGCGGGGCATAGCTCGGGTGTAAACGGGGTCTGGGGCGGATGCCCCAGCGGCCCGCCGCAGGCGCCGCCGGAGGCCCCGGCCCGCCGCAGGCGCCGATTTTTTGGCGTTTTTGCTCAAAATTGAGATATTTCTCATCATAAATTCTCATCAAAATCGAGCTCGCTACGAGCTCTCTAACTGCAGGACAGCATCTCCTCGTTGAGCCCAGCGGCGCCCGTATCGCCCACGCCCACATTCTTCTTCTTCTTCTTGGCCCTTGCTGCACTTAGCCGCTCAACCTCCGCCAGCAGCGGCTCCTTGGCATGCCGCGCATTCTCCATCTGCTTTGCTTCCCACGCTGCCGCTTCCTCTAAAGCAGCGCCGCCACTAAGCGGCGCAACCAAGTTCTCGCACTGTTTGCATGAGCATGTGTCTTGCTTGGCGCGGCGCACAATCCGCGCGCGGCGAGTGAGGTGCGTGAGAGCAGAAGACTCGCAGGTCGGATGGGCGGTGACGCCGTCGAGCGACGGCGCAAAGGCCAATCGCTGCTGCTGCGCCAACGAGAGCGGCGACACGAGGCTGCTGGCAGCTGGCAGAGCGAATCGCGATTCCGGCGGCCGCCGTCAGCCCGCCGACACCGACGGCCGAGCTGAGGTTAAACTCCGCCACAGGTCGGACCATCCGTGCGTCAGCCATGGGACGAGACGTCTGTGTGCAGACAGCCCGCCACCCGGGCGATAGAACATGCCAGCTGCTTGCAGGGCTCTCGTGGCCCGGTGGTGAATAGGGCGGGCTGCGGCGGGCGCATAAACTATTCACAGCTTATGAACACCGGGAAAACTAAAGTCTGCAGAAGAGTTCGAGTGGTCTTCGTGCTCAGAAGGATCAAGAGAGCTCTATTCACACCCTTTGTGCGTTGAAGACCACAGGCAATGCCCGTTTACACCCAACCGACGAGTCGCTGGGCCCTCTGACCTGAGCCGCAGCCTCGGCGTAGACCGCGCGCGCCGCGCAGCGCGCTCCGTGTTTGCAGACCGCCCTGGCGGACTCGTTTACACTTCCAAGCTCAAGCCAGGCGCCGCAGGCCATAAAAGAGGAGCGCAGATTAAAATGGCGCCGCAGGCTCCCCCCGGGCCGTCCGCGCAGAGAACCTTTGTCTAAAAACAAAACAAGAAAATCGATGAGACACCACTAGGGGCTGGGGGGCTCCGATCTCCATCTCTCCAGTACTCTCCAATCTCCAGCGTCGCTACATCTTAGGCCGGATCCAGTCAGATCTCCGATCTCCATCTTCAATCTCCAATCTCCAACGTCGTCATCTTAGGCCGGATTCAGTCAGATCTCCGATCTCCATCTCCAATCTCCAATCTCCAATCTCGATTCGGGGGCCCGGGGGAGGAGGGGGGCTCAAACCTTCAAGGAGATGCGCTATGGATACATTCACAATGCAAAAGGATCTCCACCCTCTTTTCGCGCCATTTTGCAATCTCCAGTCGGCCCACACGATCTCTAGGCGCCTTTGGCGCGAAGTCAGAATCTCCACCTCTCTGACTCTGTCGCAAGATCTGCAAGCAACTGCACGCACCAACTCGACATCTCAGACTCCTCTCGAGCATCTACACTGGAGAGGATTTGCCTGAACCAGTTCTTCAATCTACTGCTTCTCTTGGCAGGAGATTTGCCACTTAAGAGATCTCTGAAAGGCATCTACGATCTACACAGTCCGGTCCACAAGGATATCCTTCCGATGTACATGTAGCGCAGAGATTTCCATGTATGGCGGGTCAAACAAACGTTGGCGGGTCCTCAAAATGCACCGCCCACCCCGGGCTCAACACAACAGGCGTCAGGCGGCGCCGAACCCACCGTGGCACAGCGCCCGGGGCACCTCGACCCCCTCTCATCCCAGCTCTTCACCTCACCCATCTTGTGCCGACGGACTTCTACCCGCTTGGAGGACACCATGCTCTCACGCCTTCTGCCGCTTCTGCGCAGGGCCGCCATCGGCGCCGCCCTCCTCATCGGCGGCCGCCTCGCCTCGATCCCTCGCGCCCGCCGCACCGGATTCCTCCGCGTCCGCCTTCCGCCCGCCGCCCTCCATGCCGCCGCCGCCGCCGCCGCCGCCGCCGCCGTCCCCGCCGCCGCCGCCGTCCCCGCCGCCGCCGTCGCCATCGCCGTCGCCATCGCCGCCCCCATCGCCGCCGCCGCCGCCGCCGCCCTCCTCCGCCGCCTTTGCTCCCCACTTTCTCTCCCACCACTGCTGCCGCTTGCGCTGCCGCGTCTTGCCGGACGCGGCACGCAGCTCGCGGATGCGATCGGTGTAGCGCAGCAGCTTCTCGCCCCGCAGCAGCGCGAACTGCGCCGCCGCGCCGCCGAACGGCTGCTCCCTCTCCGAGAGCAGGCGCACCGCCTCCGCCGCGCCCTCCTCGGTCTCCATCCGCACGTACGCGACGGTCGGGTCGCCAGAGTTGGAGAAGCCGTAGTCGACAAACTCGACCGGCGCGACCGCGCCGAAGACGCTGTTCATCTCCTTGCGGATCGCCTTGATGTTGCCGCCGCGCGCAATCGCCGTCACCGCCACCACCGTCTGCGGCAGCGCCGCCGCCGCCCGCTCCGCCTCGGCGGCGGCAGCCTTGGCGCGCTCCGCCTTTGCGCTGCGCCGCGAGCCGGCGGCGCGCGCGCTCTTGTACGCCGCCTTCTGCTCCTCCCACGCAGCCTTGCGCATCACCCTCAGCGGCGGCTGCCCATCGCGCAGCGCGGTGCCGCCCATCCGCTCGGGCGCGGCGGCGGCGGCAGCCTCGGTCTCAAACTCGACAAAGGCAAAGCCGAGCGCGTCGCGGCTGTGCGACGGGCCCGATCGCGGCAGCGAGACGCACGTCACCGCGCCGCACGCGCCAAACGCCTCTCGCAGCATGTCGATGGTGACGCCCGCCGGCAGCTGCTCGACATACACGGTCCGCGCCGCCGAGGTGTCCTCGTCGGGAAGAGGCGAGACGCGCCGCACCGACTGCTCGTCGTCCGAGACGACTAGCCCGGGGGCCTGCCGCAGCGCAGCGACGATCACGCCCACGTCCTGCGTGTGGGCCGCAACGCGGTTGAAGGTGGCGAGCGTCTCGATGGGCACCGCGCCCGTGCCGTCGGCGCCGGTCAGGCGGATGAGGAAACGGTCGCGCCGGAGGTTGGAGTCGGAGAAGTAGAAGCCGAGCTGGCTGACGAGCTCGGCGGGCGGGGCGAGCGAGGAGTCAGAGGCCGCCTCCGCCATCTGAGGGTGCTTGGCGAGGGGGCGGCGGCGGAGGCGCGGCGGCGTTACCCTCTCACTATGAAGCTAGTCTGCAGCCGCGGGACGCGCGCTTTCTTTTTACTCAGAGCGAAACAGCCTTCGCTCAGGGTGAAACTCATGTTCTTCCGCTCGATAATGCACGGAATGAATAAATGAAAAAAGAGACTGCCTTGCAAATGACTACAGAAGAAAAGGCCGGCCGTGGTGGCTCTCGTGAAATTGCCCTCGAGGGTGGCTGTCGCCAGTGGCAAATCCGTCCCGGCGGGATTTAGAGCGGCAAAGAAAAATGGCGCGCAAAGCTCTGCTCTTTGACCCTGACTGGAGAACGACGCCCTGCCGAGAGGCGCATGGGGAGGCGCTCGCCGCCGGTTCCTTCGCGGTGGACGCGGGCCGACGGCGCGCAGCCGATTCTCCGCTCCTCCCGCCCCTTCGAGCTCCGCCCCGCCGAGCGGCGTGGCCTGCTCCGCCTCCTCCCCGGCACCAAGCGGCGCGCCGAGGCCCTCAACGGCGCCCTCTCCGCTGGGCTGCACAAGCGGGAGCTGCGGCCGCGGAAGGTGCTTTCGGCGCAGCTGGGAGCCGCCGCCGCAGCCGCCGCGCGCCAGTCACCGCCGCCCGACGATGGGTACGCCAGCCAGTCCGAGGGCGACGGCGCCTGTGGCTGCGGCGACCCCTCCCGGTCCATGCGCCCGCGCCGCGTGTCGTCGGAGGACCCGGGGGCGCTAGTCATCGAGCCGACGGGCCCGCACACGCACACCGTCGTCCTGCTGCACGGCATGTACACGGCGCCCGAGGACTCTGACACCATGATGGAGCTGCCGCAGAGCGTCGCTCGAGTCGGCCTGCCGGGCTGCAAATATGTCTTTCCCCGCGCGCCGCGGCGAACGATTAGCTGGCCGACGGGCCCCGAGGCGAGCGGCCCGCGCCCCACACCACGCGCCGCCCCTGCCCTGCCCCACCTGCGCCCCCCTTGCGCCCCATCAAGTCCCGATTCGGAGCCCCGCCGTTTTCCCGCCCTTTTCAACGACCTCGCCCCGCCCCTCTGGACCTTGTGCCTCAGGCGAACGTCGCCTCCTGGTACAACTATTACACCCGCCGCGACGGCGAGCACCAGCACGACGTCCTCAACGAGGCGCCGCCCCCCCCCGCCGCCCGCCCGCCCGCCCCTCTTGCCCCCGATTTGCTCCAACGCTTGAAGTGGACGCATCCCGGACGCGTTCGGAATGCGTCTCCCTCCCTCCCGCGGCTGCGGGCTGAGCGCGGCGCGCCGATGCTCGGCGCAGGCGCACCTGGCGTCGCAGACCCGCCGCATCCACTCCATCCTCGACCGCGAGATCGAGTTGCTCGGCGGCGACGCGCAGCGCGTCATGCTCGGCGGATGCAGCCAGGGCGGCACGGTGCGCTGCGCTGCGAGACGCGCCCCGGCGTGCGCCTCGGTTGGTTAGGAGGTGGGTACGTCATTGGGCGGCGGACGAACAACCCGCGTGTTGCGTGAAATACCGCTCATGTTCAGCTTCGGCCATTTGCCCCCTGTGATCGCAGGCGGCCACTTCAACATCCAAACACTCCCCTGCGATCTGGCGTATCATTTCGAGCATCCCACGCGGGCGGGCGATACCCTCGACAGGTAATCGCTTTGAGGCGAGCGGGCTAACACGCCACCT